CACAAACTCTTCATTGCATTTAATTTACTCTTCAATTCAATCAACGAAACACTTATTAATTTTGAACACATTTTGGTTATAAAACAAATAATAAATAAAGTTAAATAAACTGAATAAATAATTTCGACAAATAAAGTTAATTTGCAATATTTAGCGCAATTTTAAACAAAAATATTTCAAACCCAGTATTTATATGAGTATCCCATAGACACAGGCTTTGAGATAAAGTCAAGTATTTTATTATAAACATTAACTCACATTAACATCATTTCAAATGCTATTTATATGGATAGCAAAACGATTAGTTTATTATCTATGCATTCTATGTATCCCTTGATTATAATCCCTATCTATTATCTCAAATACACTGTACATCTATGAAGTGATTGGTCTCTTATGGCTAAACAACTCATATCTTTACTTCAAATCTAATCTCAAAGCCGTTTAGTTTATCATAAGATTTTGAATTCACATTTTAATAGAAAATAAAGATTAATATTATTATCATTATTACTGCAATAAATGTCAACATTTAACAAATATTTTTCAACTCAAACACAAATATTCACACATAATAAGCGTGTATTGTATTTGGATCTGTGCTATCAAATAGTTGTTTAAGTGGACTTTTATATCTTCGTGTGTTGTCTTCACATTCTTCTGGATGTCATCGAGTGATAGGTTTGTATGGATTGTGACAAACCATGCGTTCAATTGTCACAACTGTTGTGTCTTTTCAGTCATTCATTGACTTATGAGTCAATCCTCGAGTCCTTTGTGTCCACACTATTGCCCCCAAAGAAGGCATTCAAATGCTATTACAATGAATGTGACAAATGTTTCACAACTCAAAGCCGATTGGATGAACACAAACGCCGCAGACATGCCGTTCAAGACATCACTCCTCGGGAACCGATTGTTAGCTCAACCGATGCCAGAGACCAGTCGACGACAGCCACAGATGTTGGACAGCAGCAGCCAAATGCCACACCAGTGGCCAACCTTTCAACCACTTCCAGTCCCGACAGCCAATCGCTGGACAATATGTGCGATGAGTATGTGTTTCCGTCTTTAGACTGATTTAAATTTAAGTCATAACTTGTTTTACATCTATTTTCTCATTCAATATCTAGCGATACAAATGGCACCGAATTAGTGGACACAATACCGATGTTAAACACCGGCCAAACACTGCCACCTATACGGAGTGGTCAGCAATTGGCCACGACTTCACTCGTGGATAGCAATCCGTGCCTTAAGTACTGTTTAAATCACATCTCAATTAAAACTCAAATTAATTTCCACTCATTTCTCACAAACAGTACTATTAATACAAATACTGGTCACACGTCGGTCACCGCTAACCCCCTCCAGACTAGCGGCCAAACTGTCGTTGATTTGCCGGCAACTCATAAGTGCCTTATCGGCGGCTGTGGTCTCGAGTTTTACATTAAATACACACTAATCGCACACCAGAGGGCTGTCCACAAGACAACGGCTCAAGACATTCACTTCAGGTGCGACACGAGTGGTGTCGGCGGCAGTCATAGCGCCGTTGGTTTAGGCGTCTGTAGTCCTAAACCTGATGCCATCCATGAGTGCAAACACTGCCACAAAACATATGCCACGAAACGGGAGCTCAAGAAACACCGCCGGACTGTCCACTCATCGGACGGCAAAGCGTACGGCTGTGCGCACAACGGCTGCGGCCTATCGTTCGCCACAATACCGGAGCTGAAGAAACACCGACTGTCTGTCCACTCGGCCACCGGTCGACAGTATCGGTGCGACCGCTGCGACAAAACATATCACAGCAAACAAAGGTATGATAAGCATAGGCTGACTGTCCACTCAACGACGGCCACTGAAGCTCTCCATAAGATTACGGCTCAAGACATTCACTTTGGGCACGAAAAGAGTGGTGTAAACAGCGATAGACCCATAGAGACCACGACTGTCCTACCGGTGCAGTCAATCACTGCCACCAGTGATACAAACAACAGGTTTATTATAGCCATTGATTTAAGATATTTATTCATTATGTTTTTTACATTTAAATATACAGTGATATGGACTCTGATCTCGAAGTGATAGACATTATACCGGCGCCCAAACGCACCGCCCATACAGTGCCGGTGCGGCCCATCTCTGACCACACATCAAAACGCTTACTAATTGAGTAATGTTTATAAAATATCCAATATAATAAACAACACATTAATTATTATATATTTTTTGCCACAATTAGTGTCACAAATGTAACTACAAATTACAATTACAAATGTCTTAGTAATGAAACCAGTGGTCACACCAATAGTTACTTATGCGATGTCGAGGGTTGCGGCGGTGTATTTGTCTGGAAATATGATCTCGATCTGCATCAGGCGATTGCCCACAAAGTGGCTGTCCGTCTGACGCATCCGTGCGGTCAATGCGAGCAATCGTTTGATAGCGTAGACCAATGGGCGGACCATATGCTCGCCCGGCATCGGGGGTCTGACCACACATGCGATAAGTGTCCCAAAGTGTGTAATACTTGGCGCCAATTGATTGACCATCAAAACGCTGTCCACTCGCAGCCGACGCACAACTCGTTTACGTGTAGTCAATGCGACCGACAGTTTGTCACCCAAAAGAAGCTGATCCGCCATCAGAAGTGTTTCCACTCACTATTTCCCCGTATTTTGCGGTTTAAGTCATATGAGAGTCAATGAAAAGTATTTATTTTTAATGAATTTGAATAAAAATTAATGATTTTATTAGTAATTTTATGTATTTGTAGTTTTTTAAAAGTATTGATTTCTGTATCAACTTTTTTATATTTATTAATTAAAGATTAAAACAATTTTTTGTGATTATTTATAATATTATTTATCCTATTTTTGATGGTGAAATTAAATGTTTCAATAATTGATTTACTTGGTGTAAATTTTACTATTATTCTCTCATATGGTTACGATTTAAATGTTGTTTTAATTCAAATTTCGTTACAAACTGTTGATTACAGTTATGAATACATTTATGGCTTTTTATATTTAGATGTCTTATCATACGTTTTTTAAAATTAAATTTTTGTGTAAAACTTTTAATATAATCATTGAATTTACAGACAAATGATTTTTCTCCCGAATGTATGCGACGCATACTGGGCGTATTTGTTTGCACTTTTTTGGCTGTTTACGTAATAATAGGGGAAAGGATTATATAATTTTTTAGATAGTTTAATAAATTATAAATTGATTAATTATAATTTAATAATATTTATAATTATTGTTTTATTTCTATATTAAATACAAAACAAATATAGTATATGAGTTTTAAATTTAAATATTATTTGGATTTTAATAATTAGTTTAATAGTTGTAATCAATGTCTAATGTGTTTGTGACTAAAATGTTGTTTTAATTCATATTTTGTAACAAACCGTTGATTACAGTTATTATGAATACATTTATGGCTTTTTATATTCAAATGTCTTTTCATATGAGTTCTGAGAGAAGATTGATCTGAAAATCTATTATTACAATCATTGAAACGACAAATTAATGGTTTTTCTCCCGAATGTATGCGTTTGTGTCGAATTAGAATCAGTTTTGTTGTAAATTTTTTGCCACAATTTTCTTCATTACATTTGAATTTCCTTTCCTTCAAATGAACACAACTTTTGTGTTGAAATAAACTTCTTTTTGTTTTAAAACTTTTGTGGCATTCATTGAAATCACAAATAAATCTCTCATTTAAATGAACAATATTTATATGTGTCTGAAGATTGCATTCAAGTTTATAACTTTTATTGCAATTATTAAAATCACATTTAAATTGTTTTATATCTGAATGAATTAATTGATGTCGAGTTAATTGTTGTTTAGTTGTTGTCTTGAATTGACATTTAGGCCAAAAGCAGTGTAAATAATCATCAGATTTAGTAATGATATGACAATTGTTTAGCATTTTATC